CTTATTCTTCACCTTGCTATAGGAGAGGAGATATCCTCCCAGTCAGTGATCCCCGAATCATTGCCAGGTTGGGAGAAATTTATTCCCCTCCTCCAACACACCCTTTCCCTGAGAGTTGGGATTGCACACTCAGGGTATTGAGTGTTCACATGCTGGGATCTGCCTGCATAAACAGAAATACTTCCTCATCCTTTTTACTATCATCAAGCTTTCTCCTCAAGAAATATTGCATATGTTACAAATCCAAGGAGACAGGCCCAGTTAGATAAGAATTTGCCAGCTCTGGCTCTGGCTGCAGTTATTGACAGCTGGATTTGCATGAAGGAACCAAGGGTTCCCCCAGCAATGCACACAAGGCATCAGAAGAAACAGCTGCTGTGTCCCTTGGCAAGGGTTGAGTAGCTGGTCTTGTGACCTTTTTCAGTTAATGACCTTGTTCAATGTGTATATTAAGCGGATTTTATTTGTTTGTTTGTTTTTTAACCCAGTCCAACATGCAGCAGCCCAAGAGATTTGGGGATACTAAGCATTCTTACTCCACTTCAAGATGACAGTTGATAAGCACATAGCCATAAGATATTGAAAATAACAAAGGACATGAGGAGAAACCAGAGCCCTAGGGAGATTAATAAATGATGTGGTGAAGGAGTGAGTGCCATCCAGCTGCTGAGCCCCAGGAGGACCCGTTATTTAGGCTCTCTGAAAGCCAAGAGAGGCAAGCAGGGTTCTTACCAACCTGTTCACTATGATTCCTACTCCTTAAATGCTCTCAGATGCATCTAACAGGGGTATTTATTTATTTATTCTCTCAGCAAATAAAGCATGTTCTGAAATTGTGAGCAGTGGCTAAGTTTGGCAAGATTGTATAATCTAATCACCGACCCTGTCAACATCCTTCACACTCACTCCCTAAGGGCCTCACTGCCCAGAGTGGTTCCCAGTCTGTGTCTCCTGGAGCCCTCATGTTCCACGGAGCTTCTTCTGGGGCAGCTATGTGGGAGTAGGTGCGCTTCCAGACACCCTCTCCCGGCTTCAGGAAGAGGAGCTCTGTTCTCACCTTCTGTGTGTATTAGAGAACCATGGAAGATTTAGTTTGGAATGAGAGGGGCTCTTCTGCTTCAAAAAAGAAACTTGAAAATCAGCAGTGCCTTGACATCTGCATCCTTTTGCAAGTCACTTTTTCTACTTGTTGGTATGTTTTTGAAATGTAACCAGGTTGATATATAGAGTTCAATTGTTGTATGAATGAACCCTGATATATTTGTTCCCCTGCTGATGGGTAGTTAGATGGTTTCCCATTTTCACCATCTCAATATTCTTCAGTGTAACTGAAGGCATTTTTCATATAGACAATGGTCAGTGCACTCCAAGCTGGACAAGCAGGAAAAGGAAGGGAAACCAGGGAGTTTGAAAGGCTAGTGAGAGCATGGCAAGTGGGTAGAGAGAAGACTAGAAGCTACATGGACGTAATAGAGCCAGGGCTCCTGTACAAAATATGGATGCAGAGGTAGAAACTAGTAGTCAGTAAGGCCAGGAGTGTGACCTGGATGCTGGGTATCTGAGCATACAGAGGAAAATGAGTCTGCCAAAAACCCAAGAGGCCATGTTGTTAGCTGGGACTTTAGTTTGCTCCTTCAGCTCCACTCTGCTTGCTTCTCAGCCCTGCTGTGTGCCCCAGATGCTGACTTTAAGTCCCAGATTAATGCCCTTGGCCTCTTCTGAAAGCCACACGACATGAACTGCAGACCATGGAAAGGGAGTGGAGACAGGGTTTTCATCCCCCCAGCTCCTCCATGGAGACTCGCTGCCTGCATCCCTACTGAAAGCCACTGCTCACTTCCCTACATCATCTTTCCAATTAGAGCAAATGTTCCTAGTCTTGCTCATCTGGCCAAGGGTGTTAAAGCACTTTGCGCTGAGGTCTTGAACTCTCATCATTGGGCTTCATCTATGGAAAGAATCGTTTTATTGACCACTTTTCACCTGTTTGCGTGTGTCATCTTTCTTGCCTTATGGGCACAGGTTGATTGTATGGATACTGAAATCACTGGAAATGGTAACAGCAGGGTTAGGGTAAAGAGGAAGTTAGTGAGCCAGGTACTTAAACCTAGTGCAGGGCAGTGTCTGTATATCTATGTAAAAATGAAACTATCCCACATTTTTGTAGTTCATCTTTGATCTCCTTTAAACCCAAAATTCCTGCCTGATTTGCCTGATTTGTGTGTGTGTGAATTTCTAGTATTTGTGCAATATTTGGCAAATTGAAGGCACTTAAAAATGAAAAAAAATGAATCAAACAGGAATGAATTAAAATAAACTGAATTGAATGGAATTTTGCTGAATAAGTAAGATACTAATTTGGCACATTTGAAATATCGTGGATGTTCCCTTTCTCTCTTGCATGTTGTTTTTAAAATCTTCATGAACATCAAGTAATAAATTAGATCAGAGAAATGAGTTTCTGAAATAAATAATAAATGCTTGTTAATAAAGTATTAGCATCTCACATAGAGCAACATTGAGGTCATGAAAATTTTGTGATAAATTCAGATTCCCTTGAGCCTTTGGAACCCACTTTTTAAATATCATTAGCTTTTAATTTTTTTATTTTTATATGTTTTTTTTCTGTCAGAAAAGTATCACTTTTTGTCTCCAAGGCAAAATGCCATTCATGATACTTCCAGAACATGTAATTATTCATTTGAAAATAATTTTGATAGTCATATATGTATTACATTTCCTTGAATTATAATATTAAGCAGAAACAAAGGAGAAATCTTTTTTGGATTTAAGCTTAAACTAAAATAGTGTATGTTGAGTCTTTGTGACAGTCTGAGGAAAGCCTTCCCTGGCAGAGTGGTTGTTCTTCTCAAATAGTGGATCGTAGAGATGGACAATCAAGGGAGAAATGCAAAATAAACACCACTCAGCGTGCAGTTGGGAGGTTTTATAAGGGGAGGGATGTGTCACTCTTTTTCCCCTTCTCCAAACACTAAGCATATGGCAGTTTAACTCTTGGTTGGCTCCTATAATCTGTTGCATTCATGAAGTTGTATTTTGAAGTACTCATTATTTGAAAAGCAAGGACAGTGACTAATGTGCACTTGCTAAAAATCGTATGTGTGTGTGTGTGTGTGTGTGTGTGTGTGTGTGTATGAAAAGTCATTTCAAAGCAAAGGATATTGTTAGCATTTATGAATAAAGAATGTTTACTGTTCTGATGTAGCAGTAAAAGTTATGGCCAGCAATCTTGATTTGGAATAGCCCCTTCACCAAAAGCGCAGAGCTAGCCACCCAGATTTTAACACGTGACAATACTCCACCCTGATTATAGTTTCAGAACTGCACTCAGCTGGCCGTCAGAGGAGAAAATGCTGCTTGGTGCAGACTAGAAGGCTCTACTGAAATGACTTTATCTCCTACACCAGCTCCATGAATTCATTGTAGCTTCTGGAGGCTGAATCAGTGTGCTCCTAGGAGTGTGCTGATATCAGCTAGTGACATCTACCACCATGGGTTGGAGGGATGAATGGCAGCATTCAGGACATGGTATTGAAAGCAGAATTTGAAATCAGATTATCAAGGTCAGAGCCTCATCTCCATTCCTTATTAGCTATAGGGAGAAATCTTGGTCATTTACTGTATTAGCTTTCCATTGCTATAGTAATGTTATGGTTGTACATCAACTTACAAGGAGGAAAGGTTTATTTTAGCTCATAGTTTTGGATATTTCAGTCCATGATGGGTTGGCCCTGTTTTGGGGGGGTCTGTAGCACATCATGGTAGGGAGTTCATTGCAGAACAAAGTTTGTCACGTTATAGCAGCTAAAAAACCAAAAGACGGGAAGAAGAAGAGAGTGGGGTCCCACAGTTCTCTTCAGGGACATGCCTCACTAGGCCCCACCTCTTAAAGGTTTCTACCACCTTCTAATAGTGCCAGCCTGGGTACTGAGCCTTTAATACATAGGGCCCTTTGAGGAATTCTAGATCCAAACTATAGCACTCACCCATTCAGCAATCTCAGTTTTCTCATCTAGAAAATGAGGCTCATAAAAATTATCAAGAAAATTAAAAGTGGTATCACACAAAAGAATTAAAGTGCTACTTAAATCTTAGTTGTTGCTAGTGCAATTTGCCTACCCCAATTTAGTGTTTCCCTCTATTAAACCTATGGCATTTTAGTCTTTCTGTTACTCTTTTGGCAATTAATTACAAACTCCCTATCACCTCACATTAGTTTATTGTATTACTTCACCACGTTTCATTTGAGTTTTCTGTAGCTGCCAATACCTTCTCGCCCATGCCTCTCCCATTGTAGGAAATCTGTAAGTGTCAATTTATTGGATGAATGTGAAACTATTACTAATAGTATTTTTTAAACTAAGTATTAACAAGGAGATGAGTAGTAATTTTTTATTCAAAGGGATGTATTATGTATTTTACTTGAAAAAATTATTATTCTTTAGTGTTCACCGGGTTGTGTATATGTGTGTGTGTATGTGTGTATGTATGTGTTTAATTTTAAAATGCACTTTATTTCCAAAGAACCTGTTTTCCAGACTCAGGCAGCTCCCATTTGCCAGTTTGCAGAGGGTGCAAACCCACAGGCTTGATGGATCAGGCACATATCATCACCTATGAGTAGGTTCCACTTTCTAGGCTGACCAATAGGCCAGGAGCTGGGCTTGCCCACTGCCTCAGCACAGCATTGATGCTTTTTACTTCTTGACCACCCTGCCCCCGATCCTCTTTGCTGACTCAAATGATCGTAGACTTTTTAATGGTTTACTTAGTGACAGGCCCCAGACATAGCGTTCTCTCCACCACTCAGTGCTTTTAAAACCCAGCCCTCCCAAGAGTCAATTGTGCTTCCACATCAATCACTGCTTTCAATTGCTGGAAAGTTTCTTGACTTTCTGCTAATCATTGTAAGGACAGTTAGTTTTCTGTTGCAACTGCCAAGCATATAAATAACTTGTTTCTTCTTTCTGTGGTGCCAGGCCCATGCCATCGTCCTGAGTAGAAACCCCTCTCAAGAGGAGGCAGCCGACTCCTCACACTTTGTCGCCCGTGCTGCTGTCGCTTCTGGGAGGCCTGAGCACCATGGTGAGAACCAGTCTTCCTTCCTCATGTCTCACATGCATGCGCCTAGGGGGTGGGTGAACAGGTGGATGGGGTCTCAACAGGAACCTTCAGAGAACCTTCACGGTTTCCTCTAATTTGTAGCTCTGCTCCTCTGTTGCTTCCCCAGTGTCCTTTACTTTCTATCTCCCTGTAGCCTTCCTCTGACCTTTTCCTCTTCAATACAGCTACTCTTCATCCATAGCTATTAAGAACCCAAGGGAACTGGTGCTGGGCTCACAGGGAAATCTGCTCTGCTTTCAAAGGTGATGGTTTTCAATGATTGTGGTGGAACTGCTGCAAAGTCTCAGGGCAGAGCTTTCAATTGGGGTGAACTTCCATAGCTTCAGGATCCCAGAAGGAAGCTGCCACTTATAACTCATGGTTTTCCTTATCTTTGTGTAATAGGTAGTGCAGCGGGCTCCAGAAATTCTTTACTCCCTCATCCCAGGCTCAAAGCTTCTACTGACAGGAAGCACACATTCTAATGATTCTGCTGTTGTTTGGGACAGAATATTCAGAAATGGAATATAACTCATAAAGAAGGCCTAGAGGTATATTCCAGAGAAAAATAGTTTTATACTGAGTAAAATAAGGTTCCAGTAAACATAAAATCAGTGTGTGGAAGGCTTGGGGCTGAATCAGGAAGCAGGAGTCACACTAAGCAGAAGCCAGCCTAGCAGGGTAGACTTGGGAGAAGAGGAAGGGGAAACCTTGATGAGCAGCATGGTCTGAACAGGTCCACAGCCCAGCCCAGAACTCTGTTCATGGATGAAGAGCTTCGGTTTTCATCCACCTGACCATCCTGCCTTGCAGACCCTTATTCTACCTCCTGGAGCTTGGAGCAACCTGGCTAGGTACACAGAGAGGAGACATAGAGATGACTTGTCTGATCCTCCCTCCCTAGAACATTCCATATTTAACAATCAGAATTGCCTTCAAAACTGCTGAAGAAACATTTTGACCAGTTTGTTGGTGCCTAAAACTCCTTTAAAAGCGGCAGAGAAACTTCCATTCCACAACTACTAAGGAAACACTTAAAATGCAAATATGTATTTTTTGGAAAATCCTAGAACATCAGGAATCACAATCCAAACATCTAGAGGAACCAAGCACAAGCAATGTGAGTTAAGTGTGTAGAAACCAAGAACAGAGTCAGATGTAATTATGAATGGCTATTTACAGTCAGCTGTAGTATGAGAGACAATATGGAGTGATGAGGCCTTTGGCAAACTAGAGGAGCCCACACCCTCCTACTTAGCTCCAGCCCATCACTCTATGTGACAGACAGGCTTATATTTGAAGATCTGCTGTTTTCAAGAGAATGCAAAAATTTGGATTTTTACGTGAAATCTCTTGCTTTTAATTAGTGATAATGAACTTAAATATGTTTTAGGTTCTATATGAGTCAAAAACAAGCATTAGGATCAGATTCATAACTTCTAACCTAGGCAGCAGAAGTGTGAATAAGTAAATGTCAGATATTTTCCTGCTTTTCTTTGGGCTTATGTTTAAGACAAAAGGAGTGTTCTCAACATTTAAATTGGTAGGAGGTGAGAGAAAAGGGTCTCTTTCTGAGAGAATACCAAGCAAGGGCCAAAAGAGCCTCTTTGTAAAGCCTAGAGGGATTCTGGTCCCCAGAACACCTCATGCTCAGCATACTCATTTGCTGAGTGTGTGAACTGGGTGGGGACCAACAGAAATATCCCTAAGATGTTCTTGCTCCAGAACTGCAAAGTTAGGCTACTCTCTACAATTTACAGAATTGGTGGAAATCCTACTTGAATTACATTTTTTTCTTTAAAGTCTTCCAGTTCAAATATGTTGCTGGTATTGCCTCCCCTATTTTGAGAATAATATTAATAATACCTTTTTGATACAGTTATTAATGCATGTGAGAATTAAATGACCACACACAATGATAGTAACTAATTCTAACATAGGACATAACCGGCCATGGCTCTAACCATGGTACACTTATTAACTCAGATATCCTCAAAACAATTCTATGAAATAGATACAATTATCCCCAGTTTTTAGATGGAGAAATTGAGGCGCCAAAAGATTAGATGATTTTCCCAAGGGCTGACAGTCAGTGAATGGTAGAGCCCAGGCAGTCCTCCCCAGAGGCCATTTGTCACGGTGTTATTGGGATTGGCAATGCATATGTCACCTTTCCTTCCTACACCTGCCTGCTTAGACCTGCAGATCTGAAGCTTGGGGCAGACAAGGGACCCAGGAAGAGCAAAGGCAGCCCAAAGAAAAGGGTTTTGAAAGCCCTTAGGAAGAGCCAAGGCCCAGAAGCCTGTTTAGGATCTCAGCTCCACTCCTTTGCTGCTGCTCAGGGCATCTGGTGACCTGCACCCAGAAAACCAACCGCCAGTTTGAATTGAAATGTGGGAGGAATGTGAAGGTAGAAAAGTGAGAAGAGGACTTCTCCCAGGAACTGGGCCTCGGAACCGATAGCTTTACAGGTTAGGAGCTGGGGTGGCTTCTGCTTGAGGCTCGAGGATTAGTTGCTTGGAGCATATACATTAGATGACTCATGGAATCATAGTAATAAAAACAGCTACAACAATAGCATCAGCAGTTGAGCGCCTTCTGTATGCAGGTGCTGAACTTTCACAAATGACTTATTTACTCCTTTAACAACCATTAGAAACAGGACACAACCTCCCAGTCTACAAAGGAGCTCCCGTAACCAGGTCTGTCTTCTAGAAAGTCCCATCAACTTAAAGAAGCTTCTCTGTCTCCTTACTGCTCTACCCCAAAAGAATAAAGTCCAGAACAGTCTGGAGGCTGCTCCTAGGTGGACCCTTCTTAGACTCAGCACAACCAGCTGAAACATCTGTTGCTTTGGTGTCACTGGAAGAACATTTACCAAAGTCCTGAAGGCAAGTAACTGCTAAGTGAGGGAGTAGGGCAGAGAAGCCACAGAAGAGAAATAGATGAGAATCACCCTCAGCAACATGATGCCCTGGAACAGGGGCAGAAAGGAGCACAGACCCTGCCTCTAAGGCCTCAGTGGACCACCTAAATGGGCAAGTCAGAAAAGAGTCAGAGAGCAGAAACTCCAAGCTTGTGACCCTCATTTGAGAACTACTGCTGTTAGAATCCTGGCTCCCTTACTGGCAAGTGTGGGGACCGGCCAGCATGCGGAGATGCAGACAGTCCCAGCTCTTTCCTGCAAGTGCCTACATGTGGTGTGGGCAGAATAGGTGCCGCCATGGAGCACATAAGACATCCGTTTCCCTCTGGAAACAGGAATGAGACAGACACACCCAGCTAGGGGCTGTTAAAGAACCGGGTATATATGCTCCCCTGGTCTCTGTGTCATCTTTCTGCTGTCCCTTCATGTGGTCAAAGCCCCCATAGCAAGAGTAAGAGAAACCCACCCAGGCCTGGGGTTTCTTCAGGCCTCTGTTGCCTCCAGCAGGAGGAAATGAAAGTAGACAATTTGGAACTTATTGTTGTTTAATAACTAAGGGAAGAGCAAGTCCCCCAGCTCTCACCCAGGACCTTCTGATCTGGACTTGGGTCACTTCTAGTTCAGAAGTCCAGGCCAGATCCCACAGAAGCAAACCTGCAGTTCTTTCTTGGGGGAGGAGCCGGGGGGGGGGGGGTGTCTGGGCTCCATTTATCTATGTTTAAACCTGTCTGTGAAAAGTACAGAGATCTTTTGGGGGTTTGGTTTTGAAAAAAAAGAGAAAAATATTTTAATGAGGATCTTAATGAGGCCTGCCTACTTGCTTGCTGGATGCCCATTGAAGGCATTGCCTCGGACAAACCAAACACTGCTGGCCAAGAAGCAAGTGTTTTAGGCTCCATGCTCAAGATAATTCCTTTGCCTTGCACCTTCCTGCATTCCTCATACAGATGAAACTGCCCTAGAAGTCAGGAGGGTTGTGATTGCATAAGGAGTCCCAATTCAGGCTCCTGGAATGTCACTAACCTGAGCCTGGCCAGCTTCCCAGAGCAGCCATCGACAAACTTGGTATTAACAGCTCTCCCAGCCCTGCTAAGTGTTCAAGGCCTTGGCCTTGTGCTTATAAGTCTTCTAAAGGATATGAAAATGAAATGGTTTGAAGCCAAGTACATCTCAGTGTAAACCTTTGGGCAGCAGAGCCTGCTGAGTGGAGAAAGCCTTGTTTGGAAGTGGCCCCATCTGCGGCCTGGGCTCCTGCAGGCTGGGGAGTTCTGCCAGGTCCAGTGAAGCAGCTGGAATGGGCTCTGCCCCATTGGAGCCCAGGGGGTAGAAGCAGGGATCCCTGACTAAGAGAATTCCCAGAATATAATTTTCTGTGCACAAATATGTGTATCTCCCCAGCCCCCACTGGTCCTAGCTTCTCCCCACATCTTTACACAGTAGATGTGAAAAATGCACATATCTGAGGCTAGGCACTGTATCTCACCCAAGTCTCCTCTTTCTACCTTACATGTCCTCCCTTTTCTCAATTCTTCCTCCTGTATTATCCACCCCTTCCTCAACCCTCTTTCCAGGGTCACTGAGCTCGGCCTCTGAGCGCCCCGTGCAGGTATCAGTGTCCATGCTGGTTCTGTGCCCCACAGAGAGCAAGTTAGAGAGGGGAAGACAGAGTGCAGGGGGTGAGGCCAAGAGAAACCTTTTACAGTTTGTGCCAATGTTAGAAGTATCCCCTCTCAGAAACTTCTGGAATTATCTTAGAATTATTAAATCTAAAGGATTGGAGACCAGGGTCACTCAGCAAGTTAGAGGCACAGCTAGGCCTAGAATGGAGCTCAAGTGCTGCTTTCTTACCACACTCTAAAACCAGAAAGGTGGTCATGCTCTGGAAGCCTCATACTGGTCACCAAAGTCCCAGGGAGTCAAGAAGACCCAGAGGATAAGCTCTGTGTTGGGGAGGAAGGGCTGCAGGGATAGGCAACCCTTGGGGCCAGCAGAGGAGGAGAGAGGTGGCCCATTCCTCAAATGCAAGTCTGTGCTGTTGGCCTTCCTTCCCAGAGGG